CATGTTATTACCGTGAAAATTGGTTAAATTGCAATGAGATGAAGAGCATCTGACAGTCTGGGCAAATTATGAAACTTCTGCTCAGACAGCGATGTTTACGAGCGAGCTAAAAGCTGCATTGTGTAACTATGGTACACAGACGGTACTCTTTATAGTTGCCTAAATATCATTCTGAAATCCCGCCAAGACTCTCAAAGAGCGTAAAAGAGTAATAAGAGTTGAGCATGATATGACGTACTAGTTAGCTCCCATAGAAATATACATTGGATGTCGCCTACCTTGATGTTGTCTATTGGAAGGAATGCGTCAATAGAGCCGCCATTTTAGTACAGGGTAGCGCTCCTTTGAAATGAACGCTCCTTTTAATTAAGCGCCATCTAGCGGTCACATGATCTAAAGACTAAATATTATGACAACTTGTTCAACGTCTTTTATAAATATATATACCTTGATATAACTTTTTTTCTCACCAACACACTGGTCTTTTTCACAAGACAAAATTTTGTTGTTAGAAACTGTATTTTATATACTTAAATTTGAATTTGCATGCTAAAAGTCCTTGAGTAAAAGACATTTTACTTGATTTGGGTCATTAAAAAACTCCCTATGATGTAGCCCTGCTGTAGTCAACCTTAATCCTAATGTAGGTTGCCATAAAACCAAAACAACACCCATTCTTGTCTTAGGACATTTTATCAAGCAAATTTTAAAATAACAGTAAGTTCATGACATGTTAAATATATAGTCAAATTTGCTGGTTTTAATCATACAGAATAATATTAAATATAGTTATGAAACAACCATAACATAACCCTTATGTCTTGGAACATCTTGACTAACTTTTTATTACCTACACCAAATGTTGACTAATGAAGGTACATTTATAACAACCATTATTTGTTAGACTCCTGTATTGTCAAACCATGTTGCATACAAATGCACTCAACAGACTTACATGACAGTGCATTGCTGTAGAGGACAAATAAAACACGAGACAGATGTTTAGAAAGAGTATAGTTTATTTAGTTTGACATGCAAACAAGACAAACTTTCAGAAAACAACCCGGAAACATTATAACGTGCGCGCTCGTGAATATAACCCATGGTTGTCTTCAACTGTTTTCTTCAATAGTCCTTCTTTGCTCAACAGCTTAGCTAAAAAACAAAGCAAAACATTACAACAGTCAGACAAAGAGCAAAGAGCATAGAATCACCAAGAGGCGACACTCTACAATTTGGGAAACAATAACGCGCTTTTTGAATAAATCAAATAAAAACAAAGCAGCTGCTTTCCATCGCGACAGCAATAAGATCCAATGGACGGCCGATCGCTTTCACTTCAAAATGGCGGAATCCGGGGCTGTTGCTCTTGGTCATTTTAGGCTCTTTGCATAAAGTTAAATCATAACAGTTACCATGGTGTCTATTTCAAACTATAGTAAACTAAAGTTTGAAACTATAGTTTAAAATAGACGATGAGTGGGCCTCGCTACTCCCACCCACCATAACCCTCGCAGCGAGGTCCCACTACCGGCCCCCCGTGTTTCCCTGAGGGTCCTCGGGGGTTGTTTGTTCCCTGCCTAGGGCTCAAAGGCCGCCTCGCCCCAGGGAGTGCACGAGAAGACCGGGCGCCAGGCCGTGCCAGTATTCACTGGATGTTGCTCGGCGGCACATTTCGAGCAACAAACACGTAATATTCCTTGCGATCTAACGTTTATGTACGTAAACCACAAGGAACTACAGCACAGACGGGCCCGAGTGAAGCTTCACGAAGCGGACTTCGTGAGATTGGCGTGGCTCCACTCGTACCGTCGGTATTGAACTCACCTTGGTCAAGTACAAACAGCAACACCGGGCGAACTGACAATGCTGACAGAGAGCACACGAGCTTTATAGGAATGCAGATGCAAATTTTTACAAGGCACGTCACTGCTATCTCGTTGTCATGGCGAGCGCTGAAGAGGGCTCACCTGATTGGAGTAACTTACACAGACTCGGGAATCTGCGTCACGGCGAGTTGCCGTCTGCCATATTCAATATATATATATATATATATTTTTTTTAAACATTTTTGGTGCTGTGTAATATTCTGGGATGCAGTAGAATATGGAGACAGATGAATATAATTGGGTATATGCCGAGCTACTGTTGTTCCCATATACTTATAAACTTCCGGTCAACAGCATTCATGTTGTAATGTAATTAAAATACATTCAGTTAAATAAACTTTGGCATTCATTTAGTTGTTCAAGCGTAAAACGAGACAAAAGGCCTTTTACTCGCACTCACCCGTCAGAATCGGCAGACGCTTCATTGAATATACTGGGGTAAAATATGGCGGGGAAAATGTAATTTAATGCAGTGCTTCTAGTACAATCTGAGATCCACTTCATATCGGATATCACTCAGCCAGTGGAGATCGCTGATTTTAAAAAGAAAAACAGACCTTAAAAACGTGCAGATTTTTCCTTTGGCATACAGTTCGCCGGAAGCGCTTAACCCAGGTTACTGGCAAATTAAGAGTCCTATTAGCATGCTTCAGCATATACCCTAAAATCCCAGAATGTCTTTCGAAAAAGAGTACGGGTTTAACCCCGGCATCCTGGCCAAATTTACCCACTGGCCTCTGTCCATCATGGCATCTTAACCATCCATATATCATAATTGGCTTCATTACTCTTTCTTCTCTCTTCTCTCTCTTCTGTGGTGTGCGGTCTGGTGGAAAATGGCTGCTGTCACTTCATCCAGGTGGATGCTACACTGGTGGTAGATGAGGAGATTGTTACCCAATAAATAGCAAACTAGCTAAATTTAATTACAATATTTCCCCTAAATGCTAATTTTGTACTCAATATGATGAAACTCTAAACCATTTATTTTGGGAAAGTGTTTTCGGTTGACTTTTCCAATTTCATTAAAAAATTCTTATTTCCAAACTTCTGTATTTCCCCAAACATTGTATTCTTTGGTTATTCTCTGTGTAGATCCTTCTCATTGTAAATTTATTGTTTATTTATTAAATTTTACATCCATAAATGTACATTTTCAAAGAAACACCCTTACTTTTTTATTTTCAGAAAGGACTTTGAAATTTATGTGAATTCTTTAAAAGACTCTAACAATTACATTGCATTTAAAAAGTTTTCTTAGTGTAAATCATTTAAACTTGTTTAATATGCTGGAATTCTATTAATGTAACCCTCTTTGTTCATATTATATCTTTGTAATGTTCTTTCTTGCATTAAAAAAAAATGAAAAAGATGAGAAGATTCCCCCTATGTGTAAAGCGCTTTGAGTGCCAAGAAAAGCGCTATAGAAATGTAAGGAATCATTATTGTTATTATAAAGCACTGTTCATCATGATATAGCCATTATCATAATTCAAGTGCTATGTCATATTAAAATATTTAAATGTGTGTTCTGAACGTTGGAAGAATTTTCAGTTTTAGTGAACAATCCTTTATAAAAACTAGGGGGGGGGGGGGGGGGCACAAACTCTTTCTGAGGGGGCAATGCATATATAATTCACTAACTTTATAATTCAGCACCAATTATTTGCTTAGAATGAAAAAGCACTTAAGCAAAAAAATGTTTTGTTGTGTGACGTTCAAGTTGATCCATAAAGCACTCTTCACAATAATTATCGTTCTAAATCAACTTTACAAAAGGTGCACGTTTATTACATTACAGTAAAAAATCAAACAATTTCAGAAGCATACAGGACTTACCCGCTTGGTGACCTGACGTTTTTTCTAATTTAAGAGATAGTTCAATCAAAAATATAAATTCTGTCATCATGTTCATCCTCCTCTTGTTCCAGTCATGTTTGTTTTTCCTGTTAACACAAAATGTGGTATTTTGTAGAAAGCTGCAACCTGTAACCATTGACTTCCATAGTATTTGTTTTACTATGGAAGTCAATCGTTACAGGTATTGTGAATTGAGTGGTGATGAAGGTTGTGGTTAATTTAATTTTTTTGGATGAACTGTCCCTTTGTGTTTGCTGTGCCATTAGTTTTGATTGCACACATTCTTCCTTAAAAGTTTGAACCTTTAATAGAATTGCTTAAGATATTGTACAAATGTACAGTAAAAAAAATGTTGAGCTCCACACAATTACTTCGCTGCCCAGAAACAAATCAATGAAGTTAACGTAATTATTGTAAAATTTACTTTTTTAAAGTGGATAGATCATCAAACTGCACAACAAGAAACAATTACCTGCCTACTTTTTTAGGGGACAACTTAAATTAACAAACCAACACTAGTGGATTGCTAAGATTAGTATTGATCCAGATGTTCTAATTGGTTTGAGACAAAGCAGAAACAGAACTTGTCAACTAACTTTAATTATTTTTATACTCAATTGATAAGTAAATTCTTATTGGATATTTTCCAATTGTTCTGCCTGCAGCATTCTAATTCTATTTAATATAAAACAAGTTTCTGACATTAAGCCTTTTTCTTTTTGAATCACCAAAGAGCTTAATTTTTACAATTAACTGATGTCCCACTTTTCCTGACTTTGACCATGTTAGCAGAATTAAAAGTTTTAAATAAATTGTCACACTTCAGATAACTTATAAAGTACAAATTTTTTGGGAGGTGTAAACAAGTTAAACAAATCATGTTTTCATAGGACCTACCTGTAACCACAACTCAAAGTTAATTGGCCAAGCATATCAATTCCATTGAAAAATGGCTTTTATTAAATTGTATAGCTCATGATACATATTTACGACAGAATTTATAAAAGTGCTGTGAAAAAAAAAACACTTACACTGCAGGTTTAAAAAAAAACCTTAGCTGTTGTATAAACTAGGACAATATCTTAAGTTATCATTGAAAGATTTAATTAGCCATTAATCTCCTAATGCAGTGAAACCTGCAGTTCTACCATTACTGTGATTTCCCACACGAGAGTAGTATCTTTATGTTGTACTAGTATTGTTAAATTGTAGAAGACTAATGTTAACAATTAAACAAAAAAACAGATGCAATTCCTCTGTGCATGTTTATTAAGTACTTTGAAAAATGAATATCCTGCCAGTGACTCAAATCAATGACAACACAAACCCCACCCACAACAGGACACTGTATGAAAAATAGGCCTTTTCAACTTGCGGTAAACTGTATTTACAGTGAAGACAGATCATACACAAGCAATCAAACAAAAGAAGAAAGAAAGAAAGACTTAAAAAGCAAGATCAATGATTGCATTGACATCTTGCCTAAAACAGAGCTGGAAATACACACGGGCATGGACATGAAGTCATTTGTGATGGGGACTGATCCGTAAACCAACTGGTCGTTCTGCTTTTAGATTGCCTTGTACTGTCTTTAGTCATGCACTCCGGCCAATTGGGAATTGTCCGTTGTAATTTCAAAAAGGATTCCTGGGAAATCTGGTTAGTGAAGTGATGTAGTCCCTTTTCAGGTTAAAGGCATACAGCAGCAGTCTCCACAGATGGACTGTGTGAACTTCAGTCTTCAGCTCTTCCATTATTGACTTCACTCAGGGTTCTGAGGTAAACCTGGGCCAGCCGAGTCCAACGTCCCTATACATGCGAATTAAATAAGTGTTTGCAATTTAATTCATGTCTTGAAGCAAATAAGCCACTATCAAAATAACTAGTCAATTTTTTATTCGAGTTCCCTTAGAAGAATCACAAAACATAAAAAGCACTCAAAACACAACAAAAGCAACCTCCTCTGGTAGCATTCTTCACTTTCATCATCATCAATAACATCATCTCAGTTAAGCCACTCAGAGCTCACACTTGCCTTCATTCACACTGCCAACTCCCAGAAGCCCCGCCCACAGGCAGCATCACATCACGTTCACACATGAGTTTAGTAACAGCGAGATAGAACACACACACACCATACACAGCATTCACATCAAATATTAAGCAAGAACAAATACTTAATAGATCACAAACATTTCACTACATCTTTTTTTTTTTTTTAATTATGATTGCAATATAAGAAAGGGAGGAAAGGTAGACAGGACGAGAGGGGTGGAAGAATGGAAAAAATGTCCTTCAGATAGTCCTACAGAAAAACAAAAACATTCGCTGCTTTAAGTCACACTCGCTCACACAGGTTCTTCTCACAGTCACTTTTCAGCATTTCACACTTGCGTTCGTTCAAGTTCTCTCTCTCTCGCTCGCTCTCTCTCTCTCAACGCGTTCGCTCATTCAGTCTTTCACTCGTGGCGCACCAACAATCCATCACCAAATCACTCAGCTCTTAAAAAAGCGGACAGATTTCATCCATGAAAAAAGGGAAAAAAAAGACAACACCCACCGTCTAACACAGTATATGCAGAGTGAAGCTGTGCTCTTTGATGACAAAGCATTTACACATGGGAAGAAGGGAACTGATACTGAGATCGCTCGAACATTGCGGCCAACGAGGGGCTTCTTCCCGGGAAATTGGAAAAGAGGTGATGAACTGTAGAAGAGATGTATGAAGGCTTGACCATAAAAAACTTTTGAGGTACAAAAAAAACTGCAGAGAACACAACTCAAATGGCTTTCCACATGGAACATCTTTAAATGTACTGTATGTTGAGAGGGCCCTGAAATGCTAAGAGATACTCTAATATGTGGGCATACTGAAATAATGCCTCATACAAAATAAATTATCAATAATGAAAACTGAAAAGTGTTCATTCCACAACTAACTATCAATTAACCTTAAAGAGCAATCACTTTGTATATGAAGAACATTCAGTTTTACAAAATCAAAAGGCAAATATTTAAGGGAAATAATATGACTAAACTTTTTTCTCTCAAAATACTTACCATATAATCTACATATTAGGATACTTTCAAGCCCCAAATCAAATCTCTCCCTACATTCCCCAACTGGACTTTGTCTCCATGCTAGATCCAAAACTGGAATTGAACCCACCAGCTGCAGCCGAATTGGTACCCGCCCCCCACCCCAGAGCAGCTGAGCTGCCAGCGTTGTAGTTATTGCTGCTTGCGCTGTAATTTTGGGTCTGATCTCTACTACCACTCTGCCCACTAGGGTTGGTGCCAGAGGCGGGTGTCTGGTTTTGCTGATTAGCAAGCATCCCCATCATACCCCAACTACTCTGAAGTGCTGCCTGAGCGGCTGCCATCATAGCTGGATTCAGGTTTAGGGCCCCAAAATTAACATTGCTGTTTGGACTGCGACTACTGCCAAAGCCCTGCCCCCCATACCCCCCAAAACGCCCACGATCCATCATTTGCCTACTATTATTGTGCTTAGGCTCAGCATTGGAGATGTGCACGCTGGTTCCTTTAATGATCAGGTCCTCGCCGCACAGAGACTGGGCAACCTGGAGGAAAACAAGCATGCGTTAATATAGGAAGAGAACATTGCAAAATTAAGACAGCAAAAGATACAGAAAACTGACCTGATCGTCTGCGAAGGTGACGAAGGCAAAAGCGCGGAAGGGTTTGGGGATGAATACATCTGTGACTTCGCCGTACTGCATAAAAAACTGTCTGAGCTCATCTGCTGTCATGTCCTCAGTGCAGCGTCCCACAAACACTTTCCTGCTTCTCATAGGCTCATCAGGGCCAGCCTGTTCCAGGAAATACTAGATCATTTAATAGAAAACAGAGTCTACTCATGCATCCTTACAACATCAGAAGCATGATAAAACTATTAAAAGATGATCATGTTGAAATGCAACTTGTAATGTGTACATCAAAACAGTAAATGTTTGTGTTATTTTGTTGCATTAGTGTTGCTCACGTACCTTTGAGTTGGGAAGTTTGCAGTCGCACCATCTTCCATCGATCATATGCCGCTGGGACATGACTTTTATTTGTGTTTCATAGTCAGTAAATCTTACAAAACCGAATCCTTTGGAATTTCCACTCTTGGCATCCCTTTTCACCTAAAAAAACAAAACAAAACAAGTAATGGTCAATGTAACAGCTACCAATTACAAATGTATCACTAAATTAGAGGCATAGCTCAACTACAAATTTGATCTGCTAATAATGTGCACTCAAGTCACTCAAAATATAGTTGTTTTTCTCATTAGGATTTTTTTTCCATTAGCACACAAGTTAGTTGAGACCGGTCCTTATTGATTCAGACAATTTTAGAATGAAGATTTTTTTTATTTTTTTAATCTAATACCTGTGGCTCCTGACAATACGTTTTGGGGGAGCAAAACAACTGGTCTGTGCAAGAGATATTTTACAGCATAATTGCCTTTAATCCACAGCCACTTACATTTGAGTCTGTGCCCATGCATTCATTATGCAACAAAATGCTTGTGACTGTTATGAATGCATTTAGGGCCATTTGCAGTGGCTGCATCAATAATATTCAGCAGTTACACTTTATAAAGCCACATACCTATTACTTTTTTTTGTTTTGCATGTTTTTAACCGTTGATTTGACATACTGTTGACTTTTTTTATTAACATTAACTATTGCTAAATTAAATTGAGCAACAGATACTGATCAAAACTTGTCACCACATACAAAAACAAAACATGCTCAATACTACTCGAAGGTGATGGCCAAGTGAACTTTTTTTGTTTGCCTTTGTAGTGATCTTGATGTAGGCCTAGATTTTAGGCCATTGTCTGTGCTCTAGATTTCAATTAATGTGTTACAAGTATTAAAGTCACACCATTTTGTTTATCTTTTTCAATGTAATTGATTTTGGCAAAAGAAAAATATAAATAATATGTGATATTTCATACCTTTTCAAAAAAAAAAAAAAAAAAAAAAAAAAAACAACAACAAAGTTTGCTTATACTAACCTGCACCATGATCACCTCTCCAAAAGTGCCGAAATAATCTTTAAGGTCTTGCTCTGTTGTTTTCCATGGCAGCCCAAGCACAATCAAATCTGATGTCTTCTGGATGCCCCTCTTGATCTTCACCGCCGATGCGGCATCCATTTCATCCATCTTCCTCTTGTTATCTGAAAAGTGCATTCATTCATTGATTGCAATAATAAGCAGGTCGAACCCATTATGATTGAGATAATAATAACCCATAATTAATTGATTTGCATCAATACAATTAAAATCTAGCAAATCTAACAATACCTTTTGGATAATTAACCACGTACACCAGATTGCCCCAGTCTGCTTCTGGTGCATGAAGAACCCCCTCCACTAGTCGGACCCCTCTCATGCACTGGGACACGGGGCTTCGGTATCTTAGGCCGCAGGCACCGGGAAACTGCGCGGCGACGGTGGAGAGCAGCACGGTGCCGTCCTCTTCGGACGGAATCTCCATCGGCTCCTCATTTTCATCCTCCGCCACACGAATATAGCACTCCGTCATGATTACACCGAATGCGCGAGCTGTGCTAACTGTTTCCAACTCGATCAATAATTCAGCACTAAGGCAACAAACGGAGCCGAAACAGAAATTAGTACACCAAAACGACTTAATAAACACACTTGGCAACCAATTAGTTGACTACACGAGTTGTGGCTATTGTTTACGTGCGACTGTTAGATAACGCGGGGTGCCATTAGCTGAGCTAAGCTAGTTGCTAACCGCGCGCACGCTAGAAATGAATGGGATGTCGCGACGCACCCTTTCCCGCCAGAAAATACGCTAAGCAAATATCACCTCATCGATTGTACCTGATTATCGACCGAATGTGCACAAAACAAGTAATTTAAAGTAATTACACAAAGAAAGCTCGTGGACTATTGCATCCAGTTTCTGCTCCGACCCCCTAAACTGATAAAATGGCCGCCCTGATGCGTCACTGAAGGAATGACGTCATCACTTTGGAGCGTCTCACCACAGCACATGGAGGGGTTTGGAAATGTAGTACGTTAACTTTTCAGTCTCAAAACGTAATTTGTTGTACACTTGGTCATTTGGTGTGGTTCTACTGTGTTAATTCATTTTCACGATAGACCGGTCGGGTTGTAATTTGTATTTAAAGTGGCTAAAAGAAATGTTGAAATAAAAGAATCCACTGGAGTATTGAAAGCTGGTTGAAAGCCTCTCATATCGCGCGGCCTTACAGGCCTTACAGGTTCGTTACATCAGGCCTAGAACAGACAAAAGCGCTGTTAAACAATAGCTTTAAAGACAAAGGCCCAAAACTACCTTGCAACCAAGTTAAATGTTTGTTCATATAGCATCAAAAATTAAAATGTAATAACCCTTTATTGTTTTCTCGAGCGTAAAAATGTGTACCGTTCAGTATTCCTTACCTTCAAGGAGTATAATGATGATCACCGAACAAAGAAGTCATATTTTAACCACAAAACAGAACAAAATTTATGTTTTTGTTTAAGTTTCTTGCTTAATCCAGCTTCAAACGCACAATGCATCTTAAAACACTCATTCTTTGTCATTTTAAGTATTTCTTATTTACACTTATCAATCTAAACTCAGGCCTTCACTGTTTTACTGTTTTGTCATCAAGGCAATCATTTAAACTTTGATCACGTTTTCGATCACTGTGCACTTTTGTTATTTTAATTTACTTGACCTATTCGTTTTTAGTAACTAACAGATCAGATTATTCAATTGATCTTTACATCTATAGCGCTTTTACTATGTAGATTGTGTCAAAGCAGCTTAACATAGAAATTCTAGTAAACTGAAACTGTCAGTTCAGGGTAAGTTCAGTGTTTAAGTTTAGTTTTGTTCAGTTGGTTTAATATTCACTGCTGAAAGTCTTAACTGAAGAGAAAATCCAGTGATGCACATCCACATCATTATGTTTTTCATATCAATAGCTACAGTTTTTACACTGAATGCAGAGGAAGCTGTATGCCAAATAATTTGGCCTTCTTTAAGATTTGTGTCATTAAGTAGGCTTATGGGGAAAATAATCTCTATTTTAATGTTACTAGACTTTACTTGATGACTTTTGTTAAGCAGTCGGATCCATTTTATCATTAAAGGCAAAATAATCAGTGATTGAACAACAAGGTATACTAACTTTTTTGATCACTAGCCTATGTACTTTGGTAGTTTAATTTACTTTGTTTTTAGTAGTATCAGTTTTTTAGTAACTACAGATCAGATTATGTTGATTTTTCATTTCAACAGCTATATATTTTTACGCTCAATGCAGATGGAACTTTATAATACAAAATTTGGCATTCATTAAGATTTGTGTCTTAAGAAGGCTTATGGGGAAAAATAATCACTGTTGTAATGTTATCACTTTCAGTGTCAGTCCACCAATATTATACAAAAAGATCACAATTAGGGCTACATAAAGGTTTTAAACCTTGCATTTCACTAGATAACAGTAGTTAAGAAGCCAAATCCATTTTATTATTGAAGGCAAATGAATCGGTGAATGAACAACAGGAAGATAAATGTTTGTTGCCGTGCAGGTGCAGGTTTTCCTTTTTCCATTGGTTTTTTCACAATTGCTGGCCTGTATGTTGTAACATAATGACAGTGGGTCAGCCTAGTCTTCACACTCCCTTGTAATGTAAAAGCTCAAACACAGCTGACTTATTAGCAGTATAAAACACTTGTATCAGCACTATGTCTTCATGAACTAATGTACAATGAGCCATGGAGCTGACACTGACAAGGGTTTTGCTTATTTCAATGTATGCAAATATGCTTATGCTCTATTAGTGTTTTCAGCTGTACGTTTTTGCCAAAATGATTATTGTTTATGGTTTTTTTTTTTCATATAGACACTTCATTTTGCCTATATGGGGAAATGTGTTGCGGCAGAAGAGAGACTGGATGGGGAGTCCGTCTTCAAGCATGACAGGTACTGTAATTCCTAAGTTAAGCTATTTTGTTTTCACCGGAGTAAAACCATGTTGAAAAAGTGGCTGATATTCTTTTTTTTAGAGGGCGATGTGGAATGTTTTTCTGAGTACATGGAACTTTGGATCCATAGATTGAGAATTGAGGGATTGAGGCTTTGGCTTTCTGGAATATTAAGAATTCAAGGTGAGATATGGATATTTAATTACATAATGTAGCACATGTAAAGAAAACGTGTATATATATATATATATATATATATATATATATAATTACCCTTTATTTTAAACTTATTATTAATTTTGAAATTATACTTCTATATAAATGTAGAATTTGTTTATTAGCTGCTATAATACTTTTTGTAATTCTGTAATTGTCATTCTGTAAAACTCTATGCTAATAGACTAGGGATTTCAGACCTTTTAGAAACATTTTAAAGTCAATTTCACTAGGTTTCAGTCAGATCTGCTTAAAGTTATATAAAATTGACAAACAGAATTTGTACATTTTATTTTAGCAGTTAGTTTGAATACTTTCACACTAGTATCAGAATGAAGGTTTCACTTAATTGTAGAACTTGATACAATGTTTATTCAAATAATCATTTTAAACATAACAAGCAGTTTCAAGTTTAATGTACTAAGTTCTGCTTTTACTTCCTACAAGCTTAAATTGAGTACTAATCTAGGATTGATATTTAAATGATATATATACTTTTTGCCTAAACTAACTTAATTATTTCTATGTATTATTTATCTAATTTTGTCTATGTATTATTTATTTAATCACAGAAACATTCTTTTTAATCGGTGTACATTTTAGTAAACACGATGCACAGACAACTTCTATTAAAATTAGATTTTAATCACTATTTTAAGAAATTATAAGGCTTTGTATGGCTTAATTCGGTTGCTTTGACAAAAAAATGGCTTTAGGACAAAAAAAAAACATTAAACAAAAAGAATAAATAAATAAAAGACAGTAATATTATTGCATGGTTTTAAACAAGATATTAACTCACAATATTATGACATTTATATTAATCTAATTAATAAAACAAATCTTAAATATGAACTAAATTTAATAAATTTTATAGACTAGTTATTCAATTACTGATTTAGGTTATATCACACAGTAACACAGGACAATGTTAAATGTATGACTGACCAGCATTTTTAACAACAATGAAAAATAACTACCAAATTTGTTAAATTTTCAATTGATTTTACTGTATGCGTGTAAGTTTTCAACATTGTTTCTAAATCGCTCGCTTTGTCTAGTGGGTTTGGTGTCCATGGAGAATCTAAACCATCAGCTTTCGTCATGTGGATTTGCACTGCACAGAGATCTGGACAAAAACTATGTCTTCAGAGTCATGTACAGCGGATGCTTTGTCCAGTTAGAGGTCAGAAAAAGTCTTTGTTTATCACTGTAACACATGCACTTCACAGAATTTTGCTGGTAAAAACTGTCCTTTTTTCACACAATAGCATTTTGTTGTGATTTTACAGCACGGAAATTACGTGATTGTGCTGAACCTGTTGAAGAGAGTTAGTCGTTTTGGAGGCAGAACTCAGAAGTTTATGATGAAGTGTCCAGCAGTGTTAGCGCCTCCTAATAGAGAGTACATCCAATGTGATTCAGACTCCATTCAGGTAAGAATAACTGATTTAATGATTATCTTCTTGCTGTCTTGATCTCTCTTTTTTAAATTTTTGTTCTTTTTTGTGTGTAAGGTTACCAGAGAGATCCCTGTGGATAATTGGAATAATGAGGTAAATTTAAATAAATGTGTCATTATAAGAGGTCGATGAATTCATTTGATGTAATGATTCTGATGTGATTTTTTTCCACTCAGCTCGACTGGTCTCTTGCCTTGAGAGGGAGTCTGGTGGTGGCGTTGGAGGATTCCAGTCTTATTCAAGTAAATGTTGAAATGCACAAACCGAACATTACAGTTCAAGGGAGGAGGGACACCATCTTAAGTCCTGTGCAGGTATGAGTTCATCATAGGTAATTGAAAATACATTTTCCTTTAATTTGTTTTGTGTGTTATATCTGTGATGGCATCTTCTAAAAATTGCATCTTAACTGTGCGTCATCGTTTTTAGAAAGCAGTTAATCAGTTATTGCTGTTTAATCAGTTTGTTAAAGATTTAAATGTGATTTAAAAACATATAATCAAATTATTATTATTATTGTCAGTATTATTCATTTTTAAATTTGTATTTAACTATATACACAAACATTTAGGGTCTTGAATGCCCACCAAATTTTAATTTATTTGATTTTTTAAAAATACAGTAAACTATTATTATAATTAAAGTAACTGTTTTTATATAAATATATTTTAAAATGCAAATATATTCTGTTATGGCAATGCTTAATGTTCAGTATTTTTACTCGAGTCATGACTGTCCTTCAGATGGGTGTCACATGATCCTTCAGAAATCCTTAACTGTCATGTTTAATCAACTTTCTCTAATTTCTAAGGTTTCATCAATTCTTTGTTTTATGACCCTGCTTGAACTAAAATTATTTAAAGGTTTCCATGGGTCTTGGAATTTCTGGAAAATAATTGAATTTTAAAATGTTTGTCTATGCATTTTATTTCGTTTATTTATTTTATTTGCCCCAATCATGGTATATCAGGGATTTTTGTTTGCAATTTTAACATTTAACATCCTGTTAACACTTCACATAAATAACCAACACACTAGATTTGGTTCCTGTATTCAGTTAACAGTCCCAAGGGTATTGGCAGAACTTGGCAAACGTGCTTTTTCTTTTTATGCTCCTTGGGCTTGGAATGACCTACAAAATCAGCTTAATCTTGACACACTTATGACTCCGAGTACTTTTAAACATCTTCTGTGCAACGTCTTAAAGGATACTTGTAATTGTTTTTTATGATCTGACCTTTTTTTTTTTTTTTTTTTTTTTTTTTTACAAATGGTGATTTTGTAATTTTTTTTGGTTTTGTTTTTTGTGTGAAACAAAATGGCTGCCTGCCGTCTGGACCAGGTCTCACTGGAAGAAGAGACACTACTGTTTCAATGTGATCTCCTGGCTAAATAAAGGAAATAATTATAATAACAACAATAATAATAATAATAACATTTAACATGTTCCAGGCAAATTGTTTTGCAGATCGTTATAGTTGGGTATTTTTCATCTTATTCCTTTTCCTGCTTGTCAACTAGCAAAAAGTCACCTATACTTGTTAACTAAGTCAAAGTGCTATGTAGTTATAATGTTACCTAGCTAGCTGAGATATATCCAGCTGCAGGCCCGCAGCACACACGTTTTAGGCACACACAATCTAGGACACACGATTTAGGCAAACCATATATGGTCGCCACCTATTGAATTTCACAAATATGGTTTCCCATTTCAGTCATTATTATTATTATATCGTTACGATCATTTTAACATCTCTGCAGTTTCTAAACTCAAATTATGTAAATAAAACTAATTGGTTAAAGACAATTATGACTTTATTCATGTGTCCACAGACACAAAGAAATCATAGACCGTCTATTTGTAGGATTAAGTGTAATAAATTAATTCAAGATCTTAATCTTATCATACTTGGTTAAAATCACTTTGTTGTAAAATATAAAAAGCAAACAATAATATGTCACTTTAAAATAAATTAGCCTACTATAGTTAATCATTTAAACAATATATATATATATATATAGTTATAAACTGATTATCTTAACTGATTATCTGATTATAATAAGTTTATATATAAACTACTAGCTTTTACCAAACTGTCACAGCTGTTGGTTATATTTATATATTATATTTATTATATATATATATATATATATATATATATATATATATATATATATATATATATATATATATATATATATATATATATATATATATATATATATATATATATTATTTTTTTTATTATTAATAGTTAATTTGTTCCTATGGCAAAATTTTGGTTTAAAAAATTTCTTTCATTAAAAAATTAATGCATTATATAAATTAAACCTGTCCAAATTAGATCGTTCAGCAAGGCCAGCAAACGAGTATCTGCTATATTATTGTCAGATAATAATGACTGATCAGCTATCATGACTGATTAAAAACTGTTCAGTCTATTATATTGAATGGTGATCGGACACAATGCTCCCCATTCACCCGTCTCGATCGCAATATTTGTAAAATAAAGTAAAGTAAACACTATTGTTTATTGTGTACAATATTTATTAACCAAATATCTCAAAATATATCGATGACGATGTTCAAAAAGACGTTAATAACATTAACATCCGTCGTAACCATACATGGTTTGCCTGGATTGTGTGTCCTAGATTGTGTGTGCCTAAAACGTGTGTGGTTCTGCGGGCCTGCAGCTGGATATTATTGGGCTAGCTTGATATATTTAAAAGTTGTTTTGATAAAAAAAAATTAGCCTGTGATAAGTAACATAAGTGTTCGCTGAAAGAATTGAAAAATCTAAACATAGCCCTTCAGAGTTATCAGTGCTATAGGCTAATTGAAAAGATTGAAGGCCCTTGAAATTAAACTTTGTCCAACTTTCCGTCCAGCACAGTCTTGGGCTTTAGCACTGTATAGTAAGCATATGCAACCTGACAACATGGTAAAATATATTTTTCTCATTTGAATCATTATGTGTCCTAACCGAGAGTTTTTATTAAACTTTTTGTACTAAAAACATCTGTGAATAAGTAAATAAAGCTTCAAATGGATGGATTTAAATACACTCTGTGTCTTTTTCAGCTCAGTGCTTAACACAATAGCTTTCTGTTTATTATAGGTCATGGAAATTCAGATTTTAGTCTGGAAAAAAGCCAGGGAATTTGACATTTGGCTTAGAGTGGGTAGAGTTAAACCCTGGATTTAGTGTGCCACCTAATGGTACTCAGCTGAATAGCATATTGCTAACTCAAATCATTTTTTGCTAAAAGAATTTAATCAATAGTGCTTAAGCTGATTTAAAATTGTCCAAATTGTCTAAAAAGCCCTAAAAGCCTCTAATATATTTGTATTAAAATTCTACAAATTTTTTAGGTTTTCGCATCTGAAGGTCATTTCTTACCCCTCAAACTGGTCAGTGGCAATTATGCCTACAGCATGGAGGCTACTTGTCCTAACGGTTTGTTAATTATATTATTATATCACTGCACATCATAACATACCATAGTTTTTCAGTCACTAACAGCTACACTGCATGTTTTTTTTAGGGAACACGTCGTCATCTAATGAAACGGTGCTGCATATCTATAAGCGGCGCATGGGTTTGACCAAAAGAGGTGGATATCAAAATGAGACCCTGTCAGTAAGCAGTGTGATGGTGGAGCAGACTGACACGTTTAGCTGGACGGAGACCACAGACTTTGTGCAGCTTATCATTCCTACATCCTACATTCAACAGAATAAGGTTAGTAGTGAATGATGTTGAAAGTTCACATAGAATGCAATACTTCTGTACAGTACTGATGTATTGACTTGATCAAAACAATAAAGGTAGTTAAAGGTCCCATGAAGTTTTTTTAGATGTTAGGATCAGTATTGTTACATTTAAAGATATCTATAAGCTAGTGTGGTCCAAAACAACGACACAATTTGTGTTTAGAAGATATAAATCTGATATAAACATGTAAAGCTTGTAGTTTGTAACTTCCGATTAAGTGGTTTTATTCATGTTACCTCATACTTAAGTTAATCAAATCATAACCAATCAAATGCTCTCTATTATCTGACAAGCCCCGCCCCCTTTGAGAAGTTTTTATATATATATATATATACATACATACATACCTACATACATATATATATATATATATATATATATATATATATATATATATATATATATATATATATATATATATATATATTTTTTTTTTTTTTTTTTTTTCATTTGCTTGAGATCACCCACTCCTCCTGGCAGAGCTGTGATGGAACAAAACACTTTTGGCTGTTTTTATTTTTAAAAAGGAGGAGCTACACTGTATCTTTCCACTTTTTGGTTGAGATTGCGTCAAACATCGAATAAAAATGCATATTCAAAGCATCTTACGGGACATTTATACTGTCACATGTTTTCTATTTAACTGTTGTTTATTTTATACTTATTCATCAGAGAATCCTGATGCAGAATGTACAAAATCTATGCAGAATAGTTTTCGACATTTATAATAGCAAAAATTGTTTGAGCACAAAAGCAGCATGTACTGTTAGAATATTTGGATTAAAATGTTTAGCACCATATAGTAACCAGTGCTTCCCACACATAAACTTAACTTGGGCGAGCCACCCAGGTAAATTAACGTATTTTTTATCATCTTTTTTATTCTTTTAATTTTTTTTCTATCCACCCAATATAACAAAATGATCGATTAAGTAGTGAAAAATCTTCTCTTTTGCATCCGTTGCATACTGCTTGTTCTATGTGCGCAAGAACTGTCAAAACTCCCACTGACAGTCTCACATGCTCTGCGGATCCACAAAGATGTGCCTTTTTTGTCCGCCCAGGGTTTCTAAATCTACTAAAATGTCTGGGATTTGGCTTTTGCTTTCTCTTTCTAAAGCTGTCGTTAATTCTATGTGCACACGCATGTTGTGAGAGTGAGAGAAACATAAATTAATTCCTAATTCTAAACCACTCAGAAAAGCTTTAGTAAATGCTCAGAGAGGATGAAATTACATCTAATTGGCTGCAAAATATTTGCACACCATTAGAAATGGTTAATCAGTCTTATTTAAGCCTTATTTAAATTATCTACACTTTTTATTCTTGTAATTGTTATAATTTTATTGTGTTTTTTTTCCTTTTATTCCTATATATTTTACTAATTTGAGGATATGTTGCACCTTTTATACATCTAAAATTCTTTGGCAATATTGTACAAAACGTCATGCCAATAAAGCAACCTGAATTTGAATGCAAGATAGAGAAAATCAGATTTTACCTGTCAATGGGTGCACATGGCTCTGGAATTGCATAAAAGTAGTAGAAATAGTGATAGTCTTTTTTAACTTTAACCCATTGAAAAGAAACACAGTTCATAACAGTTTCTTAATAAATAAAAATGTAAAAAAAAATCGAATTATGTTTTGTTTGTCGCATACAGTTAACTATTTGATGTGTTCAAAGGTATTCCGCAAGTGTATTTCAAACCTGTGGAAAGCACTGAGTAACCATTGTACGCTAATATTTATTTTCTTTAACAAAAATACTTTTAATTGGCTGTAGTTTAGCTGTAGTTTTAGTTGTATAACAACCTTGCTCTGAGGTAATGGAATTATTTTCTTTGTATTTATATTTATTTTAGTGTATCTGTGGATACATTAATTATAGTTAAAGTGCTGTTTTATATTTTAATAGAAATATTTTCTATCATGAGGAAATTCTGGTGTTCGTTCAGTTTTATTTAACAAGATCTTTTCAAATAAGCCAAGTAAATAAATCAGATATAGCTACAGTTTCTTATTTATACTATTTTGCAGGAGTGTTTAAGTCAAACAGGAGAGAAACTTCAGCAAAATTTCTACAAGATAGACGCTGTCCTCACCTTTAAAGAGACAAATCACAAAATGCACTGGACCATGGAAAACACTTCTCCATGTTCAGGTTAGTGTCTGTTCAAAATGTTTCACTTCAAGAATGTTTTTTTTGTTGTCTTTTCTTTAATATTCATTTTTAAAATAAAGACAAAAAATGTTTCAGGAGCATTGAAATCATCATATATCTACAATTGTTTTTCAGAGCTGTTAAAATCACATTCTGTCTATGATGACCCACAAAAAGCCAACTTTACAACACATTCACCAACATGGACTGCAGAAAGGCCAGAAATTCCACCTGATTACACCACAAACTTGACTCCTTCAGTGTCACCATCGACTACATCTACAGCATTACAGACCGCAGATCCAGACACCAGCACAACCTCAATGCCAACACCACAACTGAAGACAACTGAAGTATTCAACACATCAACTCCTCTTTCATACCAAGAAGTGTTTTCAAGTACACTTTACAGCCCAAATCACAACTCGACAAGCTCATCTGTACACCAGTGACTGCACAGCGGATGGAAATGCAGGTACCGACTGCACACGTGATATTATATTTTTTTTCATGCTACACTATTACAATTGGTAGTCCATTAATCAGAGAGCAGATGTAATCACAGTTTGAAATACAGCTACACATTTAAGCGCCATTTTCACTCAGACTGGGATTTACAACACAACAGTCAAGCGGACTCATGCATCTTTTCCGTTGACAAGCAAAGTGCCTTGGAATCACATACGGGGAATGATTACATCTCAGACTGTGTTGGTCATGCTATTTAAATGGACACCTCTCAGCTAGGTGTCTTCCAGGAATAAACGTGGTGAATGAGGAGATTCCCCCCAAAAATGTGTAAAGCATTTTGAGTGTCCAGAAAAGCGCTATATAAATTTTAGCAATTATTATTATTATTAATTATTATTATTATATTATTATAAACGTGGAACTGGACTAAATTGGTATCTACCACAAAAAAGTGGTCGATAAATTATGTAAAATATGTATTAAAATCTGTTCCTGATTTAGAAAAGTTTTTCTTGTTGAAAAATTGGGCAGTTTTATCAGTTGCAGCTAAATGGCTCTCTATTTTTTTCTTGAGCATTTAGTATTAATGTTTTTTTTTCAGTAGTATACTTTAGTACAGATTCTGTTATCGTTTGTAGTCATGGAATAATATGATTTTTTTTTTTTACTGCACAATTAATCGCTATAGAAATCTCTATCCAAACACCCTCTCTATCATGTTCCTAAATGACAGCTGTTTGTTTATATCTGTTCAGCCACACACATATAATCTCAGCACTCAAATCTGTGTTTACACTTCCGCTGACACAGAGAGTGCAGTTGCTATGTATAAATAAAATTGCTTTAGTCTTCTTAACCACACAGTATTGTTATTCACGTCACATAAAAAGTCAGTTATCACAGAATTATTACTAAGGTAAAATATAGTAAAAATATATTAAAATATAGGTTAGATATAATTGAGTTTGTTCTAGGGCTGCACTATATATAATTTCAGCATCGTTATTGCAATATGATCATTGGACATAGTCACATCATGCGTATACACACTGTTGATTCTAGACTATAATTTATTATTTCGCAAATATTTTTCGAGGCCTGTGACTGAGGATTTTAAAGGATTCAGGCTTAAGGAATTGTACCGTTTTTACTTCATTAAAAAGCGGTTAATTTTATTTAATTGTTTTTAAAACTAAGACTATGTGGTATTATTTTACATTTGATTGTTCAACTACTATGTACCTGAATACAGTTCAACTCTTAGGAAAACAATAAATCGCTGTTTATTTGATTTGAATTATTTTTTTAAATTAATTTTATCTATGCTTGTAAATTGTTTCTTATATTTTATGCATATGTAATCCCCTACATAATTATTTCAATCAATTTTTGCAAATAGTTATGCAAGTCATCTAGTGAAATTGTATTTATATTGCAATATATATATCGCAGAATTAAAAACAAAAATTGCAGTGTTAGATTTTTCCAATATCGCACAGCCCTAATTTGTTCACACTTGTTTGTTTGTCCAGAATGAAAAACTAAATAACACAACAGCCTTTGGTGTACTTTTGTGTTCTCAGTGTCATTTTGAAAACTGCATTTAAAGCCATTTCTTTTTGTTTTGTATTTTTATGACATGTTTGTTTTGGATCCAAATTAAATACTGTGAGGGCTGATTTTAAACACGTTGCTTATCTGTGACATCTGATGGTATGTTTACAAATTGAGAGCTCCTGAAGTGCTTATTAAATTTAAAAACCATTCAAAACAGCTGCAGGAATTCCTCCATCACACACATAAACTAAGATCTGCTACAAGGAGACACCTTTCTGAAGCCTGTACTTGAACTGTATTGGGCAACATTGTAACTATAGCTGGGTTTCTGTCCTAACACAAGATAATTGCCCCCAGACTCCCCCAACAAACTCCCCACCCCTAAATGTCAATTAGGTTTGTTTTCCAAATGGTTTGAGTTACCTTAACATTTTTTTACAATGTTTAAATTTAAAACTATTTTAAATGAACTGCTTATGATATATGTATAAACGTTACTGTAATAATGTAATGTTGATCTTGTTGCCAGTCCTACTGTTTAGTTTGTAGTATGTAGGTATAAAACGTGCAAGTTGAGTGGTACACTGTTAAACCCAATAAGTTAAGGTAACTCAAACCATTTAAGGAAACTGATTGCAACAAACCATTTAAGTAAAAAAAAAAAACTAATCCTAATGAGTACTGTGAACTTAATCCATTTGAGTAAATGAAACAATTTGAGCACAGTAAAACCCGATAAATAAAGAGAACTCAAACCTACTGGATATTTTAAAATCTAATAAGTTAAGGCAACTCGAACCGATTGAGGAAACCAGTTGCAACAAACCATTTGAGTTAAAAAACAAATCTATGTGATTACTGTGAACTTACTCCATTTAAGTTGAAGTTATAAGGTATTAAATTAACTTTAACACCGAGTTCAAAACTCTTTTCAAATGAACAAAATTAACTTTTAGTCAATTTTGAATTAACTACACTCATTTCATTTGATAAAGTTGACTTTTGGGTTTTACAGTGTATGAGCTGGGTTAAAGTTCAACTAAAAAGGAAAATTCTGCTATCATTTACTCATCCTCCACTTGTTTCAAACCTTAGAGTTAAAACTTTTTTTTTTTTTTATCGTAAAGGAAAATCTAACAAAGAATGTTGAGGGGAAAACAGCCATCGACTGGATGTCAAATTATGCTAAAAAAATTCACAAAATCTTATTTTGTGTTCAACTAAAGAAAGAAATTTATAAAAGTTAAAACCACTTGAGTGTAGGTATAGTGAGGAATTTTCATTATCCCTTCAATACATGACAATTGTGATATGGACAGACATTAGAGAGTCTCTCTCGCAAATTTCTGCCATAAGTCTACAAAATGTTATCCTTTAGAGATGTGATATCTGTTAAAATGTTTGTTTTTTTTCGGTGTTTTTCCGCTCTGTGTCAGTATGAGAAACAGCCAGAAGAGGTCAGTGTTGATCAGTGTTTGGCTTTTACAAAATATTCCCCGTCAAGGCAAACAAAGAGAGAAGTGTGAAACTTTCCCAAAATCTGATGCCATTGTCTGTTGTTCTAAATCACAGGTGCATATATTTGTCATTATAAATATAAAAAAGTGACGCTTTATGGACATAATTTATTTTACGCATAACATAATACACTGAGCACAGAAATTTGCACTCGGTCAGATTCAGTGGGAAAACAAGCTCAAATGTGAGGTTAGCTAATTTGCCTTTACTGCGCAATTTCCCTCGCTTGAATGAATTCAATTAGACTTTTGAAAGGGCAGGCCATTATTTAATGTAACCCAGTCAAGATATTCTTCTAAATTCTGAGCATCTGGAAAAAAAGACCACAGACACTCGTAAAAATTTATTGTGATTATAGTCTTGATATTTGAGCAAACCGAGGAACACCCTTTCTCATCCTAATTGTGATTGCATCTGAAAGTGTGTGTTCTGTATGAAATGAGGAAACGCACAAGCACATTTGTATGCGTTGGATATTGTGTCCTCTAGAGCATTTGTGTATTTCTCACCCGGCGGGTCAGAGGGGGGCCGCGCCGCCACGCTTTTCTTTGCCATCTGTTGCATGAACTTGTGAACAGGAAACACAATAGCAGCACAAAGTACACCAACATCTCAAGGCTTTCATGTGGCTGCTTTGAGCCATTATGTTATTAGTGTAGGCTTAAAAATTCCTTTCATGTCCCCCTTCTTTTCTTTTTCATGCGAGTTGCACATCTGCGAGATGTTTGAAACCACACTCTGGTTAAATTCTGCATTGCTTTCAGAGATGTTTTTAATTGTCATAATTGATAACGATATGAGCTCAACATTCACACATTAGGGAAACTTTGCTCTTGTTTTCTTTCTTTCTGAAGGTGCTCAACATTTGTATTGAACATTATATGTGGAAGCTAGAAGGATGTTTATTTGAGGATTCTTTTTATTGTGGTAACTTTAAATTCAAGGTTAGATGCAAGAAATTACAAATGTACTTAAAAAAACTAATATCAGCAACAATGACATTTAGCTAATTTTGCATACATAAAGCATATTAAATGGAAGTAAATTTGTGCTATAATGCTTTATATTGCTTTTTTATGAAAAGAAAATGTCAAAATATTCATTTATTCATTATCCTTTGGCATAGTTGGTACAGCAGATATGAACCACCAACTTATCCATTATGTTTTACACTGCTGATGCCCTTTCAGCTGCAACCCAGTACTGGGAAACACCCATACACGCTCATTCTCTCTCTTACACACACACACACACACACACACACTCATACACTACGGCCAATTTAGTTTATTCAATTCACCTATACCACATGTCTTTTACTGTGGGGGACACCGGAGCACCCAGAGGAAACCCACACGAACACGGGGAGAACATGCAAACACCACACAAAAATGCCAACTCACCCAGCCTGGACTCGAACCAGTGAACTTGCTGTGAGGCACAGTGTTAACCACTGAGCTATAGTGTCGCCCATGTCAAAATATAGTGTAAAAGAAGTAATTTATGTTAAATTGAAAAGATTTATTCTGACCTGTATTTATTTAAACATTCATTTTCCTTCAGCTTAGTTTTTATTTCAGAGGTTGCCACAGTGGAATGAACCACCAACTATTCCAGCATAGGTTTTATTCAATGAATGCACTTCCAGCCACAACACAGTACCAGGAAACAACCATACATGCTCAAATACTGTCAACAATTTATTCCAGGTGTGTCCAAACTTGGTCCTGGAGGGTCGGTGTCCTGCAAAAGATTCAGCCCCAATCAGACACACCTGGGCTAGATGATCAAGCACTTTCTAGGCTTTCTAGAAATATCTGTGAAGGTTGGTTGAGACAAATTGGAGCTAAAATCTGCAGGACATATGCCCTCAAGGACCAAGTTTGGACACCCCTGATTTAGGCAATCCAATCCACCTATAGCGCATGTCTTTGGACTTGTAGAGTTTGCATAAAATATAAAGATGTAAAATCATTTAATATTTTATACAATGTATAATCAACATTTATTTTGTGGTTTATTAAAATATTGGGATTTATTTTTATTTGAATATGTTTTATATATGCATTGCGGTTCAAAAGTGTATCACAATGTTTAATGTCCAAAAATTACCTTATATTTTCAATGCATTTTAGATGTCTTTGGCATTTTACATATATGCTTCCATTAGTCAGTGTCCATATTTCTTGCACAGATTTGTAAAAGCAGGTTTACTATTGCGGCTCAGTTTGTTGAAGCGATTGAGGAATAAGCTTTCCACAGCAGCACCAGAGCTGGCAGAGGA